GGGGAAGGGGGTAGCTGGGTTAGGGGAATGAGGAAGGGGGTAGCTGGAGTAGGGGAATGCTGCCGGGCTCTGTTGGAGCTCACAAGGCATGATGTAATGCACTTGTGCCTCTAGGCTGTATATTTAGTAACTCATGGCCACTAACTCCATGATCTAGCAACAGATAGCAATCTCCTTCATAGAGAGCCCAGAGTGACTAGCTTTAGGGAACGTAAACATCACCTTGTCCAATTGGAGAGGGCTGCTGATCCAATCAATAGCGTTGAATGTATTGTTCTGTTTCTATTTTGCAGATGATTTTTCCTATAGTGGTGTTCATTGGCCTTGGAAATGAAAACATCTATGGTCACTGTAGGTCGAAAATTTGTGGCAAAAACCGTGCGGTAAGAATTCTATTGGTTTAGCCTGCCTTCTTTGACAGAATGACAGATTGCTTTGGATGAGTGTTTTTGTTGAATGACTGCCTTTTCTCTTTCAACCAGATGGTGACCACGGTTATGGTGTCTCTGATTGGCATGGCTGGCGGTGGATACTGTTTCAATGTTTCACTTTTGGGTTTATTAAAAGGCCCATACTGCCTCACGGAGCTGGGATGGAACTATCCCTTCAACAACACCAATGGCAGGTGAAAAAAAACTCCAAATAATCTAATTTTAACATTCCTCCATTCAAAAGGAAGACGGGTGATAATATTTTGGGAGCAAGGATAAGGTGAGGCAATATAAAGTAAACTGTACGAGTATAAAAGAGAGGCGGGGATTGGGTAGGGTGCGAAGCGCAACATTTTTGAAAACGAATGGGCAAATTGATATGACTACTTTAAGAAAAAAGTCAGGATTCTTGTAAGATGGCCAACTTTCTTCTGAGGTTTTACAGCTAATGCACCCCTGCCCTATGATCCTGTTGATAGATTAACATGTCCCGTCCTTGTGACAAGCCAACCTCCTGCACCAACCAAAATGTGAACAACCTCTTGGTGACTCAATTGCATGATTCTTGACTCAATTTCTGATAGCTGTAGGAGATTCTGAAAGATTGTCAACACTGGGCTCTGTAATAATGAGGAGGCACAAAAGCAGGCAAGTTGTGTTGAACTAAACTCGCTAGTCAGGCCTTACATGGATTAACGTAGAGTCATGGAGGTTTACAGCATGGAAACAGGCCCTTTGGCCCAACCTGTCCATGCTGCCCAGTTTTCACAATTAATCTAGTCCCATTTGCCTGCATTTGGTTCACATCCCTCCATACCTCTCCCATCCATGTACTTGTCCAATCATGACTAATTCTAAGAATGTTGTCCTTGAAGAAGATGCAGAGGAAAATTAATAGAATTTTCTGTGCCATGCCAATGCCTTGTACATACTATCAGTGTGTTTTTGATAGATGAGGTTTTACTTTAAGTAAGAGAACTAGGTGTATTTACAAGGCTCATTTCTGAAGAAGGGTTATTGGATTTGAAACGTTAACTCTGCTTTCCCTCCACTATTGTGGAGATTGGGCTTGGGACTCTGAGATCTGGACTATTCTTTTCCTCTTGGTTACCTTTTGGCTCTGTTAAATCTTTTAATTCTGGTTTTTGTAACCAAGTGGATGCCAGTGAATGGTGACTTTGTGCATTTCTCGCTGTATTTATGTCTTCCTACACTCAGTACGTGAGACAAATAAATAAATCTAAAATCTAAATCTAAAGATGCTGCCAGACCTGCTGAGTTTCTCCAGCAATTTCTATTTCTAGGCAGAGTTGCAGTGCGTACTAGGAGGCAACCTCGAAACAATGAAAAATAATTAGATAAACTTAATAGCAGCGGGTCATTATCACCAAGCGTAGGTGTCAAAGATTATAGATTGTAAAATGGTGGGACGATGGGGAGAGGTGATGTGACATTAGCAGTAGAACGTTTGAACAGAATGTTTTGCATTGAGCAGATGCAGAATATGCGTTTGTGAGCTGTGTAGTAGTTAAAACAGCCTAATAATTCTCCTCATGAGGCATCGTTAGCTCACTTCCTCAGACGTGTGACAACTTTGTTAGAGCGGATGTCGGACAAGTGAGTTTTCTTCAACAGAAATTGCTGGAGAAAGCCAGCAGGACAGGCAGCATCTCTGGAGAGAGAGCAGAGTTAGCAGTTCAAAACACAGGGACCGTTCTTCAGAAGTTGAAACATTAACTCAGCTGTCTCTTCGCTGTTGCGTTTCTCCAGCATTTCCTGCTTTTTGTGTATTTCTGTTGTCCAGCAACAGCAATTCTTTGTTTTTTTTTAATATAAGTGAGATTTCATGCTGTTTTCTCTGAGCCCCCAGTCTAATTGGGTACAAAAAGATTCACCTCTGCGATCAACTCCATTGACTTATGACCATCCATCTGCTCCTATTTATAGGGACAACGCATGGGGACACTGAATAGGTTTGTAAAGCCATGGTGGGTTGCGTGATGAGGGAATAAAAGCATAACTTTTACAAACATTTCTCACATAAAGACTGCTAGTTAATTTCTGGAATACATTGGACTGTCATTGAGCTTGTAACTTGAACATCTAATAAGGACCTGATGGTACAAACTACACTCATACAACTCCTACTCCAACTCCCTCCCCAAAGCTCTTCATTTAAGGTGGATTCTAGGGGAAGGTGAGGCAAATTCTTTTCACCTAAGGCTAGAGGGAATCTGGAACTCACTACCCAAAAAGGTGGTAGAGGCAGAAACCTTCATACTATCTAAAAGAAGACATGTGTTAGAAATGCTGCAACTTACTGAACTGCAGACCAAAGGTGGGGAAGTGGGATTCATTGAATTTAATTCACTCATTTGATGAGGGTGTCACTGGCTAGGCCAACATTTATTGCCCATCCCTAATTGCCCTGAGGGCAGTGAAGTGTCAACCATATTGCTGTGGGTCTGGAGTCACATGTAGTCCAGACCAGGTAAGGATGGCAGTTTCCTTCCCTAAAGGACATTAGTGAACCAGACGAGTTTTTCTGACAATGGGCAATGGATTCATGGTCATAATTAGACTCTTAATTCCAGATTTTTATTGAATTCAAATTCTACCATCTGCCATGGCAGGATTTGAACCCTGTCCCCAAAACATTACCCAGATGTCTAGATTAACAGCCCGGCGATAATACCACAATTGTCCAGAAACATATAGTGGGCTGAATGGCCTCCTTTAGTGTTATAAACTTTCTCTCTTAACTCTTTCTGTCTCTGACTTTACCTTCTCAAAGCCTACTTTTACTAATTCCTCCTTCAGTTAATTCTCCTACTAACTCTACCCTCTACCACAATTGTTTGGTATAAAGCCCCTTTGGACATTAAGTTAATGTGGGTGCTTGGCGCTACATGGCGTGTTTGAAGTAAATAGCATGAGTGTGCTGAAGGGGACGATAAGTTTGAGGGAGAAAGGAGCATTGAAACGTGAGATGATACAGGCAGGAGCTCCTGCTAAGCATGACCACCAGCATATCTCCGCTCAGCAAAATGCCTGATTATGTGCTGTGCAATTTGGTGTCAATCTTTATAAATACAGTGCCTAGGGTTGAAGTACAATTTGCCTGAAAGGCGTTCAAATGTTGATCTTTTAGTGTTGGCTTGGTGAGACATTTACAGAGCATAATTTTTTTTCCTTACCAGATATCTCACCAATCTCACCATCTGGAATGAGTGCAGTGAACCGAGCCACATCGTGGCATGGAATGTCACACTGTTTTCCATTCTGCTAGCGTTTAGCGGGGTTGAAATAGTCTTGATTATCGTTCACGTCATTATCGGCTTAGCTGAAGGAGCCTTTGGAAACTGTTGCCGCAGTCATGAGGTAATAATGCATTTTAGTTTCCTTTTGGATCTCTTGGGGGTAGAACTTCCACCTAGTCGTGCTGGTTTTTGTGCCTGAGTTCTGTGTAACCCATGTAAAAATGATGATGGGGTTTTAAGCGCATGAAGAATTTCCATGGCTTTGTGCGCCGTTGCCTGGACAAGCCATTAGGCTGCATGAGGCTGTTGCCGATGATGAAGGTTGCCATCATCATCTTCCTTAAGTGGAGGAAACTCCAGGGCCGAGTGTCTAGTGTGGTAGAGGAAAGCCACTTCCTGGTCTAACTAGAAGAGCCTCCAGTGGTTAATAAGAAAAAGATTGTCACCAAATAGTTTTAGGTTACCTTGATATAATGAACAATGTTATGGAGCCAAGGAAGAGGCCCAGAAGTTAGGGCCCACTCCTTCAACTGCTCTGCTCATGACCATAGGGTATCATCATAGTGGGTGGTGCTTAAGGCACATCTCAATATTAAACATAGAAACATAGGAGATAGGAGCTGGAGGAGGCCATTCGGCCCTTCAAGCCTGCTCCGCCATTCTTCTCAATCATGGCTGATCGTCCAACTCAATAGCCTAATCCTGCTTTCTCCCCATAACCTTTGATCCCATTCGTACCAAGTGCTATATCTAGTCGCCTCTTGAATATATTCAATATTTTGGCATCGGCTACTTCCTGTGTTAATGAATTCCACAGGTTCCCTCTCTTCGGGGGCAGAAATGTCGCCTCATCTCCGTCCTAAATCTTCTCCCCCAAATCCTCTACCGTGACCCCTGGTTCTGGACACACCCACCTTCAGGGACATACTCCCTGCATCGACCCTGTCCAGTCCAGTTAGAATTTTATAAGTCCCTATGAGATCCCCTCTCATTCGTCTGAACTGTAGCAAAAGCAATCCCCAGCCCTTTCAGACACTCATGAAACAGGACTTGGCTCTTGTGATGCAATTGTAGTGTCCATACCTCTGAACTAGAAAGACCAGTTTCAAATCTCACCTGCTCCAGTGATGTGTCATGACACCTTTGACTGCGTCAGTTGAAAATACCTACAACATGCATCAATTTTTAAACAAATGCCAAAAGGAGGTTCCATTCTTGAAACCTGCTATGGTCCTAGCTTAATTAATCACTATTGGGAAGATTCTGCTCATGCATTCATTTAAAATTAAATTTCTTAAATTAAACTAGTCCTTTTGGGTATAGTGACACTAAGAGGCAGGTTTTAAAAACTTTTGAATATAATTCTTTGAAATTTGTTTCATGGCATTCATGGATGTGGGTATTACTGGCAAGTCCAGAACCTGTTGCCCATCCTTCCCTAATCGACACTTATGAGTGAACAATAGGGTGGGTCTGAAGTCGCACATTTGTCAGATCCAGGTAAGCCTGGCAGATTGCCTTACCTGTGGTGTAACGTTAATGTCACTGGGTTAATAGCCCAGCAATCCCAGACTAACACGCTAGGTTCATGGATTCTAATTCAATCACTGCAAATAGTGAAATTTAAACTCAATAAGTCTTGGAAGTTATAAAGGTGGCCATACCCTTGTTTGTTGTAAAATTTCATCTGTATCAGTGATGTCCTTTTGGGGAATGAAATCTGGCTGTACATGTAACTCCAGCCCCACAACAATAGGGTCGACTCTTAACTGCCTTCTGGGCAGATATGGATGGGCAATAAATGTTGGCCTGGCTACTGATGGCCACATTCCATGAATGAATAAAATAAGATTGTGAGCCAGATAGAGCTTTACGATTGTCATTGGTAGTTTCATGGTTACCATCTTTCAGATTAGCTTTCAGTTTCATTCTACACCTTTTAAAAAGTTGAATTAAAGTCTGTAAGTTATCCATAGGATTTGAACCATTGTTCCTAAAGCATTAGCTTCAGCTTCACCAGCACTACACCACTGAACCCAAGATTCAAGCTACTGTGTCCCAATCTAATGAATGTGTAAATTTTCACAAATTTAAAATCAGGTTAAGATAACATGGTATGGAGCTGGATGAACAC